GTGTGTGTGTGTGTGTGTGTGATAGCGGTCTGTGTGGGTTCCCGCCACGTGCCGAGACCCTTATATTATATAGTATAATATAGTGCCTAAGCAAAACGGGTCGGCAACTCTCATTTTTTTTGCTTCCCTTCATCAGACATGAGTTTATAAAATGACTCGTAAACATGCTAATCATTTCTCGAAGCAGTTCTTGGTTTTATTAAATCACACACTCACCAGCGTCCGCCAACAACAAACCACTGATGTAATGTAGATCTAGTTCAGGCGAGAAGAAATGCGATGAGGTCCTTTACCACAGCCATGATGGTATATATCTGTGCTGCTGGGCTAGCTAGACCTTATTGGTTCGGTAACACGATTGTCTCTCCCCATCTCGACACTGCAACACACTTGTGGCACTGTGTCCGTCCGCCGCCGCCCGTCTCCCGCCCAGTCAAGCCTGCCATCGATTTCCGTAAGACGCTTGCAGAGGATGCCAGAATTCAGAATAACCCCAGGAAATACTCTATGGGGATCGTGTGGAGTCGGGGTGAACCTCGCTCGATGACGATTACTAAATATAAATGCCCAAACACTGCAAATTGAAATCCACATGAGGAACGAATTATTATTGTTCTAATAGATGAGCTCCGGTAAAATGATTTCATTATTTGATTGGGGGGTGGGGGGGGGGGGGGGGAGATAAAAATAATTTGCCAACTAAAACACAAACGACAAACGTTGGTGTGATTTTTTAATGGTTTGAGTGAGAGAAGTGTACCCCATAGACTATATTATTATGCGCGCTGTGAAGATGTGTCAAGCCTGACCTTCGGGTTGAAAAAAATTGAAATCGTACCTGCTGCCTTAAAATTTTAGCCTACGTTATCAGTAAGCCTATTACTGCACGTGGCTATAATCTGTAACGCATCAATAATTCATTGACTCTTAATTAATCGGAACGCTATTCCTCCTTTGTTATGTAGGCCTAGTAGTACGTAGCCAATTTTCTCATCCGAGATTTCAGCAACACAAACTTCCCCGTGGGCTATTCCGCTCCTATTTAACCTGTTTGCATAAAATAAACACCAAACTGAGTTGAAATAAATTAATGATCCAATAAATAAACACGGTACTGTTTAGGATAAGACAATGGTTGGGGTTCAGTAGATTTTTTGTTGTGACTGTAAACTACTGGATGGTGCCGTAAGCCAGCTGAACTGGAGCGCCGTGTTCTATGAAGTAAGTGTTCTAAGAATTAAGCGCACTTTGAGATCAGGTACTTTTTCCCGGCACTCGCAACTGCATAAGTCATATATTATGAGCGCACGGGACACATTTTAAGCATTTTCGGTTGGGTAGGAATTAATGAATTTAATTGCCCGGGTGATGGCCGAAGCCTACTCTTATAATCGATTTTAGAACCACCGAGGGATCTTTAACGTGAGCAGCTTACACACAGGACCTCAGAGATTTTTTGTCGCCCTTATCCAGGAAGGCTAGGAGTTAGATATTGCCCACCCTAAGATCATGGGTGTGGCTGTAATAAGGACGAGCCAAGGAGAAGTAGTAGAAATTTAGCAGAAAGAGTCAGGAGCCCAGAGAATGGGACAAAAGGAGGAGGAGGGGCAGGAAGTGGAGACGAAAGCAGGCGATAAAACACAGCTAGAGAACAGGAAAAATAAAAGGAGATTAACATTTTTTAAAGAAGAACATTTTCCTTCGCTGTCAGGTTTCGAATCCATGACCTACTAAATGAGAGTCGTACTTATAGACCACGAGAGCCCCATGAGAGAGGTAAGCCAAGGCCACCAAAGAATGAAAAAATAAACCGAATAACTCATACGTTTATGTCCTGTGGCATGTTTTTTTAACCATTTTCGATTATAAATAAACTTCCCTACTTTTTAGACATATTATTAATTATATAGCATTTAAAATGTCTTAATCGTAAACCCTGTCTTCGTTTGTTTCTTTTTCAAGATCGCAAAGTTTTCCATTGATACCCTTATACTTAGATTGATCTCTCATCGATTTGCGTTGTTCATTGTCTGCGTAAGCAGCTGTAAATAAAACTACAAAAATACCGAATAAGAAAAGGGAATAGGTCTTTTGTTTGTTGTTTGTTGTTTGTTGTTTG